GACAGAAAGACAGAAAGACAGAAAGAAAAGAGGCAAAAGGAACAAAACAATATTTATTCCCAACAGCCCAAAATAAAACCCAGTGCTGCCTGGCTCCAGAGGTTCTGCTGAGACCATCAGAGATGAAGCAGCATCATGGAGGAACCCAGCAACAGGTGGTTCTGGTTCTGGTTCTATTTAAAACAGGGTCCGGTTCTACAACATTCCAGCTTAGAACATCTAACAGAGACATGGAGACAAGGTCCATCGCCTGGACATGGACGTCCACCTAAAAGACAGCACTGATCAGAGAAGTTGGTCCAAGGAAACTCTGGAGGAGCTGCAGTGATCCTCAGCTCAGGTCCAGAAAACAGCAGCTAGATGTGAACTCCACTAACCCGATGTCTAAGATCTAGTTCTCGGCACCACCAGGAGTGGAGCCTGTGGCTTAATTTGAGTCAACACGGGAAACCTCACCCGGCCCGGACACGGAAAGGATTGAAAGTTCTGTCTCGATTCTGTGGGTGGGGGTGCATGGCCGTTCTTAGTTGGTGGAGCGATTTGTCTGGTTAATTCCGATAATGATCTGGATTGCGGCAGGTCAATCTAGGGATTGTAATTGTTTCCCATCAAAGAGGAATTCCCAGTAAGCGCAGGTCAGAAGCTCAGAAGTCAGCACCGAGAAGACGATCAAACTTGACTATCTAGAGGAAGTAAAAGTCGTAACAAGGTTTCCGTAGGTGAACCTGCGGAAGGATCATTAATGTCGTCTCGGACTCATGGCCGAGGGAAATCCCCCCTGCACAAGTTTACCTCATGGAGGTGACCCAACCCACAGATCAGGTTCACTTCCAAAAACATAGAAGGGTCTCCTGCAGAACCAGAACATCCAGAACCAGGCTGAGTGTGGGTTCTTTTCCTTCCTGCGTCACTTTGTGTACTCTAAAAAGAAAATAGTTGAACCAACTTAATTGAATTGCTTCCATTGGTAACAAGCAATTCAATTAAGATTATTCAACTTAATTTAAGTTTAACCAATTCAATATATTATAATCATCCAACTCAATTTGTTAATTTTTTTTTACAAATTTATTAAGTATGTTTAAGATGACATTTAACTCAGTCTTACTCAAATCATTTAATTTAATAAGTGGTGAATGGACTTGTATAGAGTTTTTCCAGTCATTTTGACACTCAAAGCGCTTCACACTAGAGTCACATTTACACACTGATACAGATCAGTTAAGGCTCATTGACATGTGGCAGGAGGAAGCTGGAATCGAACCATCAACCTTGTGATAATAAGACAGCTACTCCACCCACAGAGCCTCAGTCGCTTCCCAGGGAATCTGTCCCTGGGAAGCTTGAGTCATGGTGTCAGACGTGGGCTACAAATATGGTATCGAACTTAATTATTTCAAGTAAAGTCAAAGTAAAAAGGTCATTTAAGGAAAAGATTTGTAACTTGGGCTGCACAGTGGTGCAGTTGGTAGAGCTGTGGCCTTGCAGCAAGAAGATTCTGGGTTCAATTCCTGGCCTGGGGTCTTTCTGCATGGAGTCTGCATGTTCTCCCTGTGCATGGTGGGTTTCCTCCCACAGTCCAAAAACTTGACTGTCAGGTTAACTGGTCTGTCTAAATTCTCCCTAGGTGTGTGTGTGTGTGTCTGTGTTGCCCTGTGACAGACTGGTGACCTGTCCAGGTGACCCCACCTGGAACATTAGTTCCCAACCCCACTAAGGAACAAGGGTGTAAGAATTTGTAACTTTTAAGTTAGGGTGTATTTAGAGGACACTGTAAAAAGGGTATTGGGCTGCAAACTAAGAAGTTTGAATTAACCCTCATGAATTAAGTTATAAAAACTTAGCAAATTGAATTGGAAGGACTTAATGAATTGAGTTGGATGATCAGAATAAATTGGGTTGGTCAGACATAGGATACAAAACTGGCATTGAACTCAATTGTTTTAAGTAAAGTCAAAGTGAAAAGTTCCTTTAGGTTAAAGATTTGTAAGTTTTGAGTTAAATGAACACAAAACTGTAAGTTGTCAGAGCAAAAGCAAAAGAATTAAGTGAAATTAATGTAAATAAGTCCATAAGTACACTTTTTAGTGTATTTGGGCTGCATGCTAGGCTCGAGTCTCCAGACCTTTCTGTAGATTTGTGTTGTGGGGAACAGTGTGAATGTCTGCTAGTAGCTGGTTCTGAATCTGGTTCTGATGGACTGTCTCCCTCTGCTCCTCAGGGTGACCTTGGCGGTCCGCTCATGTGCCAGCAGGACGGTTCTTGGTTCCAGGCCGCTGTTGTTCTGACCTTGAACGCCTCCACCAGCCGAACTCGAGCCAACACAAATGTCTTCGTCAAACTCAGTACCTTTGACGCCTTCCTGACTCGGATACTCGGGAACTTCTTGACTCCAGAACCCTCCGTTAATGCCACCACCCCCACTGCCTCCGGCGGACACCCCGAGGCTCACTTCCTCTTCCTCTTCCTCCACATCCTCATCCTCCTCTTGTGTCTGCAGCTCTTCTCATAGAAAGACCGGGTTTAGTGACTCTCCCTCATGGGAGCCTAAAATCTGACCGGATCTTTCCCTTTCTACATGTTTAAACGGGTTCTCTGTGGTTCTTTGGGTCGAAGGTGGAAGCAGATCCTGGTTGATGAATCAAGTCTTTCTGATGATTTATCAGCTGATCCTTCAGGTTTTCCTTCCAAGGAGACAAAATTAAATGAGTCTTCATCAAAAGTTCTCCGGATTTAAAATTAACTGATTGATTTTATGTCTGTTTCTGGTTCATATTACAGTTTACATAATTATCAATAAAACCATATAAATATATGTTGAGTATTTACTGTGAAACGTCCCCTAACCCCGGGGCGGACCGGTACCTGTCCGTGTGCTGCTCAGCAGCAGGTCAGATTCTCTGATTCAATAAATTATTTCTATTTTTCAAATTATTTTTTCTTTCTTTGGACCCAGAAGTTTCTCCAACAGTCAGTTGAACTTCTGACCCGTTCCTCCTGACAGAACCTTGAAGCTCCACCCACTAATGTCCTCTGGACCCAGAACACGGGGGGTCAGAGGTCAGGAGTCGGGACTTGGACACAGTAGAACATTTCTGTATTAAACTCACTTTATCTGTTTGCGATGTTTTGAGAAACAGAATTTGAAAATGTCATTGTTCTGGAAAACACCTATGTTTTATAATTTCACCTTTTTTAATGAAATATCCACCCATCCATTTTCTTACACCCTTGTCCCTCGTGGGGTCGGGAGGGTTAGGGTGCCTATCTCCAGCAAATGTTTTGGGTGAGAGGGAGGGTCGCCTGGACAGGTCTGAATGAAATATGTGAACTAAATAAATTTCCGTCCAGTGAATGGACCTGGGTTAGGGTTGGGTGGCAGAGTTTCTGGAAGATCATCATCATTCGCAGAAAGTTTTTAATAAATCAAGTTTTAAACTTTCCAGGAAGTCAAGAGCTGAAAATCCCCAGAGCAGCTTTTCCTCATTCGTCTGCTGCCGATCAGTTGATCACATCCAGCAACACTTTGCAGGTTTGGACCACAGCATTCCTGTCGTCATGGCGACCCACAGATTATTTTATGTCATCTGTTGGTGTATTTTTCTCCACATTCATTCATGTTGATGCTTCTTCTCAGAGTTTTGTTTTCTACTGATTTAGAAGTGATTTATATTTAGAATAGAATAGACTTTATTATCTATTTATTGGTCTCTAGATTGTGTGTGTCTCTGCTCTGGTGACCTTTAACCAGGTAAAACTCACCTGTCGGCCAATAACAGGAGACCTGAGGGAAACAGTTCAGCTCTGCTGGTAGCTTCAGCTACAATATTGATCCAGTAGGACTGAATCACTACATAGTGATTAGTGGAAAGGTTTATTTTTATTCAAGGTTTCAATACCAGCTTTGTTTGTTTGTGGTACGAAATTCAGCCTCAGTCCTTCATGATGAGGCGCATCCTCCTCCTGCATCGTGCTGCATGGAGGTCGGAGGTGGAGGAAACGCTGATCCCACAGTCCTCAGTGCAGCCTTGACCGGATGGATGGATGGATGGATGGATGGATGGATGGATGGATGG